ATTTTATGATTTATGGTCCTACACTTAAGACTTCAAGTTAATTCTTGTGAGTGGTATATAAATCTGTTTCTTGAGAAAAGTAAGTTTAAATGTTATTGTTGATAACTCACTTTTTCAGCAGCACTTTTAAAAAGCCTTATTTTTTACAGTTTATTTGAAAGCATTTTTGAGCTAATGGTTATAAAACAAGCTGAAAGTATGTCATTGGAAAATTAAAAGAGAGAATAAGAAAGGAAAGAGGAAGAAGGGTGCAGTGGGGGTGGAAGGGAGGGTAAGGTGGGGAGGATCACTATGCTCCTGAATCTGTATATATGAAATACATGTAATTCGTTCACCTTATATAAATTTAAAAAATTGAAAAAAATACAGATAAGCTTCTTTTGAGTGACAGTAAGCCTACATCCAATGGAAGCATCCTTACTGGAGAAAGAGGAGGACTCACAGAGAAGCAGTGAAGAATGCAAATGTGAAAACAGAGGGGTCATCTGAATGATACATCTTCAAGACGAAACAGCAGGAATTCCTAGTTATCCTCTCTATGGTCTCATTATCCATTCAAATTCAGAATATCTTTCATTTTTGATGAGTTATCCTATATTTTCTTTATGTGTTACCATTTTGATAGACATGTTTAAGGCAAATACATGGACCACAAAATTGCTATTTACCATCAGCAACAACTCATTTTTGCCCTGGAGAATTAGTTTGTTCCTTCAGAGCAAGCAGCTCCCAGAAGGAATCAACTCTGTGCAAATCTTGACTTCAGACTTCTGGCCTCCTGAACTGTGAGAGAATCATTTTTTGTGTTTTTTAAGCTAAAAAGTTTACTTATTAAAAAGACAGAGCAAAGGAAAGAAAGAGTGACCTTCCACCTGCTTGTTCAGTCCTCCAATGCCTGCAAAAACAAGGACTGAGCCAGGCTGAAGCCAAGAGCTAGGAGCCATATCTGGGTCTCCCACGTGGGTGGCAGGGACCCAAATACTTGAGCTACCGCCTGCTGCCTCTCCAGTGCGCATTAGTGGGGCACTGGAATGGAAGTGGAGGTGTGACTCAAACCCAGGCATTCCAATTTAGGGTGCAGACATCCCAAGCAGCAGCTCAATTTGTTGTACCACAACACCTATTTTGTATATTTGAGCATTTTGAATGTGCCAGGTATTGCTCTGACTTTAAAGACGTAATGGCAATTAATGGTGGAACACCTCCTCTGTTGTATTATTTATGGTGATTAGATTACAGATCAGCTCCTTTGAACCATTGCTGATAACTTAATATGGTTCCAGAATTAAATTTGGTTGGTTTATAGTAGGCATCTTCATTTGTTCACTCACCGGACTCCTTTCTGTTGTAAACGACACTCGTGTAGTACTTGTTTTCTCTACAATGAAAGTGTCTACAAAGAAACTTCATACTATGTTTTTGTTTGTTTGTTTGTTTGTTTGTTTTGACAGGCAGAGTGGACAGTGAGAGAGAGAGACAGAGAGAAAGGTCTTCCTTTACCGTTGGTTCACTCTCCAATGGCTGCCGCGGCCGGCGCATTGCACCGATCCGAAGCCGGGAGCCAGGCGCTTTTCCTGGTCTCCCATACGGGTGCAGGGCCCAAGCACTTGGGCCATCCTCCACTGCACTCCCGGGCCATAGCAGAGAGCTGGCCTGGAAGGGGGCAACTGGGACAGAATCCGGCACCCCGACCGGGACTAGAACCCTGTGTGCCGGCGCCGCAAGGTGGAGGATTAGCCTATTGAGCCACGGCGCCAGCCCATACTATGTTTTTAATATTTTGAACCAGATACTCCATACTATCTTTTCAATTTCTGCATCTCTAGTACATAGAATATTAGAGTTCTTTGGGGGAATATTATAACATTCCCATGTCCAGACTCATTCTAACAGTGAAACCAGACTTTCTGTGAGGGGGGAAGGGCTGGGGAGGAATAGTTTTTAAAAGCCCTCCAGGTGATTGCAATGAGCAGCTAAGGTTGAGAACCGCTGGGATATGTGAATAAGGTTGTCTTTGAAGATCGCCCAGGAAGAAGGAGCCTCAACTGGATGTTTCAACGATTTTTAATAATTTGCCAAGCTGTGAAGGAAGGGGTGAGAACAAACCTTTGATGGGTCAGGGACACAAAGTTCAAATACCAGAGATGCTGGGGAATGGGCAAGTTGTTTTTCCAGGTTGATGGGAATAAGATTAAAACTGGACAATCAGGTTATCTGCAGTAAGAAACAGACTTTATATTCCAGCCAAGTTTAGCCTTTATGTTTAAGAGATCATCCATCTGCTAGTTCACTCCTTAAATGCCTACAACAGCTGAAACTAGACCAGGCTGAAGCAAAGAAGTCAGAACTCCACCCGGGTGACAGTTACCCAAGTACTTGGGCCCTTATCCACTGTCTTTCCAGGTACATTAGCAGGAAGCTGGATTAGCAATGAAGGAGACAGGACTCGAATTGGTACTCCAATATGAATGCAGGTGTCCAAAGTGGCAGCTTAGCCTACTATACCTCGATGCTCACTCCATAATTTCCTTGATGGACATTTTAAATTTTAATTCCAATTCATTAATTATTTTAAATATATATCTATCTATTTTAGAGGGAGATAAGAAGAGGGAGACCGAGACAGTAAGATCTTATATTCACTGGTTTGCTCCTCCAATGCCCACAAAGCTGGGCTGGACCAGGTCAAAGCAGCAGACCCAGCTTCTTGAGCCATCACCTACTGCCTCCTATGGTCTGCATTGTGAATGAGCTGAAATCGGGAGTAGAGCCAGGACTTGAACAAGGCACTTTGATATGTGATGCGGGTGTCCCAACCAATTGCTTAACTTCTTCTTTTTTTTTTTCAAGATTTATTTTATTTATTTGAAAGTCAGAGTTACACAGAGAGAGGAGAAGCAGAGAGAGAGAGAGAGAGAGAGAGAGAGAGAGAGGTCTTCCATCCACTGGTTCACTCCCCGGATGGCTGCAAAGGCCAGAGCTGCACCGATCCGAAGCCAGGAGCCAGGAGCTTCCTCCGGGTCTCCCACGTGGGTGCCATCTTCTACTGATTTCCCAGGCCACAGCAGAGAGCTGGACTGGAAGAGGAGCAGCCGGGGCTAGAACCGGCGCCCATATGGGATGCCGGCGCTTCAGGCCAGGGCTTTAACCCACTGTGCAACAGTGCCAGGCCCCCAACTTCTTAACTTCTAGGCCAAATGCCTACTCCTAATTATTTTTTTTTTAAGATTTTTAAAAATTTATCTGAAAGACAGTTACAGAGAGAGGGAGAGAGAGAGAGAGAGAGAGAGAGAGAGAGACAGAAAGTCTTCCATCCACTGATTCATTCCCCAGATGGCTGCAACAGTCAGAGCTGAGCTGATCCAAAGCCAGGAGCCAGGAGCTTCTTCCATGTATCCACATGAGTACAGGAGCCCAAGGATTTGGGCCATCTTCTACTGCTTTCCCAGGTACTTTAGCAGGGCGTTGGACCAGAAGTAGAGCAGCTGGGACTCAAACTGGCGCCCATATGGGATGCCGGCGCTGCAGGCCGGGACTTCAACTCATTGTGTCATAGCACTGACCCCAACCCTTAATTATTTTAATAGTTTTTTTTTCTGATCATCTACTCACATTTCCATCAATCATTCAACACATAATCTTGTTTAATGTGTTTCTGCTGAAATATATCTTTATATAATATAGATGATTGAGTCATTAACACTGAGCTAATTCCCAACAATTATAATCCATGCCTAGATAAAGCATATCTGACACATGTATTTTCTCTGGAGGTATATCATGGCCTTCTTGCTCCTTGCTCTTAGGAATATGAGACAGTACTCCAGGACTAAACATGGAGGCCATTTAAACAGCAAAACACCAACACAGAGCACAAAAGTGTGAAAAACAGGACACCAACTAGACATTAGAAAGGACGCTTGTTTACAATAGGAAACCAGGAAGAAAGATTGCAGAGTGTTGCCTTATTCAACTTTAGCTGGGAATGTTCATGTCAGGCAACTAAAATATTTTGCATATTTTTTTAAAGATTTATTTTATTTATTTGAAAGACAAAGTTACAGAGAGAGATAGAGACAGAGAGAGAGAGAGCTTCCATCTGTTGGTTCACTCCCCAGATGGCCACATGGCCAGAGCTGTGCTGATCCAAAGCCAGGAGCCAGGAGCTTCTTCCTGGTCTCCCACGTGGGTGCAGGGGCCCAAAGACTTGGGCCATCTTCTACTGCTTTCCCAGGCCATAGCAGAGGGCTGAATGGGAGGAGGAGCAGCCAGGACTAGAACTGGTGCCTATATGGGATGCCGGCGCTTCAGTCTAGGGCTTTAACCCGCTGTGCTACAGGGCCAGCTCCAATACTTTGCATCTTTATGAATGAACACCCCACCAAAATGCCAAGAGTATTAATTAATAATGAAGCTGTATTGTATACAATCTTGTATGTAATTAGTGTGACTTCATTTGCTAATGAGAAAGCTTCAGACCCTTTGCCTTAGCTTTCTCTTGGCCGGCAGTGCTGTCATTTGAGTTGGCCCAAAGACAGTCCAATTCAAGCTTGTCCCCATGTAACTTTAAAGAACATCTCATCTTATTTTTTCCAAGAATTTATCAACACATTAGGTTCTCAGGGTCACAGCACATGCATGGCAACTACTACAACACAATTCTTATGTTAATGTGATATTATGCAAAGAGAATAGATTCAATGAAGTTCACATATACAATTCTAAGAATATATTTCCTTCCTTCTCCACCCCCACCCCTCCATATCCTATTTTATCTTCAAATTATTTCCATTTGCAAAAGGGTAACAGTATAAAATGTATTATCCTGAAAACATTTTAAGTTAATAATTATATTATCATATCTTGAGGGCAAATAGTGCAATAGTTTAGATATTTCCCAAACCTTCAAAAGAAAATCCTTCCTGGAGAACTTAAAGCCAGAACACATGGAAACAACTAGAGTTGTGGTCCTTGTGTAATCATGTTTTCTATAAATTTACCTGCAGTTAGTGGGTGGAAAATATCTCCAGTCCCCTTGCTAGAGGCAGCAAACATTGTCATCAGCTAACTGGCTACTGGAAGAGACTTGTCTTAGTCCCTGTGGGTTGCTGTAACAAAACACCTTATATGGGATAATTTATAAACATGAGAAATTTATTGCTCACAGTTCTGGAGGCTGGAAAGTCCAAGTTCAGGGCACCCGTAGTTCAGTGTCTGGTGAGGACTCACTCTTTTCTTCACCAATAGTGTCTTCTAGGCATCCGCACAGGACAGAAGGGACAGACAAGACTCTCCCCCGCCACTCAGCAGGCCTCCTTCCACAGGCACTAATCCCACTCACAAAGGCTCCACCCTCATATCCCTTGCATCTTCCAAAGGCCCAGTACTTTTATTTTTTAAAAAGATTTATTTATTTGAAAGGCAGAGTGACATAAGAGGGAGGAAGAGACAGAGAAAGAGCGAGAGAGAGAGAGAGAGAGAGAGATGGAATGAATCATCCATCTCCTGGTTCATTCCCCAAGTGGCCACAACATCTAGTTTCAGACCAGGCCAAAATCAGGAGGCAGAAACTTGCTTTTGGTTTTGCACATGGGTGGCAGGAGCTAAACACTTGTGCCATCTTCTGCTGTCTTCCTATATGCACTAGCAGGGAGCTGGATTGGAAGGAGAGTAGCTGGGTCTCTAACCAGAGTTCCAAAAGGGAATGCTGGCATCACAAGCAGCAGGCTTAACCCACTTCTCCCCATTCAAGGCCCCACTTCTTACTACCAGAACATTGAGGATTAAATTCCAACATATGGGTTTAAGAGGGACGCAAAGATTTAGACTATAGCAGGGCTCCTTGATGTAGACTGGTTGCAATCTTCCAGTTAAGAACAGCTAGAGGCCGGTGCTGCGGCTCAATAGGCTAATCCTCCGCCTAGCGGCACCAGCACCCCGGGTTCTAGTCCCGGTCGGGGCGCCGGATTCTGTCCCGGTTGCCCCTCTTCAGGCCAGCTCTCCACTGTGGCCAGGGAGTGCAGTGGAGGATGGCCCAAGTGCTTGGGCCCTGCACCCCATGGGAGCCCAGGATGAGCACCTGGCTCCTGCCATCGGGTCAGCACGGTGCGCCGGCTGCAGCACGCCTGCCGCGGCGGCCATTGGAGGGTGAACCAATGGCAAAAGAAGACCTTTCTCTCTGTCTCTCTCTCACTGTCCTGTCAAAAAAAAAAAAAAAAAATCAGCTAGAGACCAAGACGGCCCCTGAAAGGAGTCACAACGAGAGTGGTAGGAAGGTGGAGGGGACAAAAGGCCTCTCTGGTCCTGCGGAGAATGTTCTCACCCTAGCCAGGAAACCGGTCTGAGTTAAGAAGCAGGCCTGAGAATGGGGGAGACATAAACAATCTTGTTGATCAGTGGGGAGAGAAGCAGGCTCTGGATTCAAGGCCACGTATAAGGTCAGGTAGCTGTAGTTGTCTGTGACCAGTCTTGGGAGTATGGGGAAGATAAACAGACACCACCCCCACCCACCCACCCCCCCCCACCCCCCCCCGCCAACACACACACAACAGGCTCCAAAATGGAGCTTTTTCTTTGTTTTGTGAGAAATGTCTGATGTTTCACATATATAAACTCCTGGCACAGGAAACAGTGAACGCTCCCCCTAGCTAACTCCACAGGAGTTTCTCATTTTTCTTATCTTTCCTTTTTCATGTGCTCATCTGTTTCATTCTTTGTGGCAGACAGAGCAAGTTCCCAGGGTTCATCTGAGCTGTTAAACCAAGATGTTCAACTGTCGCTTAATGACACTGGGCTGCCCTGAGGGGAGCAAGTCTGGAGGGATCTATTTTATCTCAGGATCCAGATGCTGTAAGTGGTGGGGAATAGACAATGAATAGAACAGGGAATAAACTGTTGAATCCTTCAATGGCAACTTAACCAATCTCTGCGTATATAGAAGGGAACCTTACTGTCTTTCTATGGGGAAGCATTAGGGCAACTCTAGCATTTTTAATAGGCCTGGCTGAGGGCTGATGATCTGATTAGAGAGAGGGACTAGGAAACTAGAGATATGAGCTTGCATGGCAGGTATGCCTTTCTTACTTAGATTACTATGCTTCTTTGAAGTGATTTTAGTGGAGGAGAGGGTCCGAATACTACAGTAGTGTAGAGCTCCCAAGCCTTCCCTCTGCAGGCACTGCAGGTGATGCAGATCTTGTTAGAAGACATGATTTGGGAGATTTAAAATTTAGTGCCTCAGAGTTCTAGCACTGCAGTATGGAATGGAGAAACCAATATTATGGGAGGACAGAGTGGCTGGTGGGTGGTTGGATGAGGGGGTTTTTGAAACAGAGATGATAATGTCAGCTCCTTGGAGAGGTCAAAGAGTCCTCTAATAAATGAGTGTGTTCAGGAAAGAGGCGGCACAATTCTTGGTAGGCAGGATGCCATGGGACATCCCCTTCTCTCTCTCTACACTGGGTACAAAGCAGATGCCTCAGTGAGAAGGCTTACTGTACTGTGATGGGTGAAGTGTGGCTGCAACCCCACCTCACTCCCTGCCAGAGATCAGAAACATAGCTGCCCTCTTTCTTACATGGTCGCGAAGTGAACCAAGATGACAAAACTGCCATTGGAAAGACAATTCACAAAGAGGGACAACAACGTGGGTGGGTCCTCGCAAGTTGAGGATGAGAGAAGCAAGGGCCAGGGTGACTGCGTGTGCTGTAGGCAACCCCTCATGTCCCATTTAAGGTGGTTTCATACATACAGCACCAAGGGCTAGACCCCGAAGAAATCTTTTCCTTTGTCCAACACACTACAGAGTGTGTGCAGTAGAAGGCAACACTCACTCTGATACCTGATTGGACTTCCTGTTACTATAGGACTGCGTGTTCACCAAGGGCCTTCTGTGGGCCAGCATGCTCTGTGCTTGGAACTGGGGCAGAGTCCTCTGACTCTGAAGTGGCAAAGATCTTTTAATATACAAAAATTACTAAAACACTCAAGTAGAGATATGAAAATAGCTGAGAGCAGAGAGGAATATATGACAGTGTCAAGGTCACACTTTCATACGCTCTATCCCTGAGTGGAAACTCCTACAGGGCTGCATTTCACTGATTTGACTTCACTAATGCAGGTGGTTTCTTGCCCATTCTTTGACTCTCTCTGACATTTATGACTTTGAACTAGCTTTCATGGTCCTGGCATCTTTCTTTTGACTGGCTCTCCTGCTACTCCCGTGGGTGTGTGTACCACCCCAACCATACCCATTCTGCTTCCCCAGTGGACTCAGTTCATTGCCTAGGCTTGCCCTATCTTCCAACACTCATAAATCTGTAATTTTAAAACAGCACAAGTTACATGTTTCTCAAAAATATTAGACTGATTTTTCTAACTTTATGGCCTTGAAATTATGCTTCAATTACCTTGAGAATACTTTTACTCATGCTTCAAATATGCCAAAAAATGAGGTGCCACTTAGGTGTATTAATTTTCTTAACCACTGAATTGACAATCCTATTATTCATCAAGAGGCACATAGATTCTTTGAAGATAAATAAAATTCCACAATCTTTTGAGCCCATCCAAAAGATTACACTACTCACATGCAGTTGGCCCCATTCATCTCAATAATTAGCACCCATGGTTCATTCAGCTCTGCTGGAGGAAAGGCCGCTGCAGCCTGGATCATCACTATTTCTGGTAAGCTGTGAATTAACAGTCAACTTTGCCTATTTCCTAGGAGCCTGTTAGATACTTAAAAGTGCTAAAAGTAGAGATGATAGTAGACAACTCTAACTCATAAAGACCATATGCATGCTTTTAAGGAAGTCAGTTTCCAGATTCTCGACTTCATATGTGTCCTTTTCTAAATTTGATTTCTCTCAGTTCACAGTCGTCATTCTCTCAATTCATAAAGAACAGCACCCCTGCAACCAAAATCTGTCTCGTGCACTACTCTGGATATAAATCGCACCAATGGGTAAGTGGAAATATTGCTTCCAGGGGAACCTCTTTGCAGAAATAATCAAGGCATTTTAATCTCACCTTATATATTTTTTGGAAAAGTAAAACTTACTAAGATAGTTGTATTTTCAGTCCATATTCGGATACTGTGAACTTTAGCCATTTCAAAGATATAAAGAGGCTCAATTTTGAATAATCTGAAGTTAGGGCATCAGAAGCAATTTGTGACCCTTTCCATGCTACCCACAGAAGGGTCCATACAGCATTGTTCTTGATGCCCGACGTAACTTAAAGGGAAGCTTTCACAATGTCCGGAGCCCTTGATGTTCTGCAAATGAAGGATAAGGGTTTCCTCAAATTCCTTGCTACAGAAATCCACTTAGGTGGCACCAATCTTGACTTCCAAGTGTAATAGGACATCTACAAAAGGAAAATGGTGACACCCACATGATAAATTCAAAGAGGACCTGGGAGAACCTTCTGTTGGTGGTTCATGACATTGTTGTCATAGACAGCGTTGCTGATGTCAGTGCCATGTCTTACTGGAACACTGGCCAGAGGGCTGTGCTGAAGTTGCTGCTGCCTCTGGGACTACTCTTATTTCTGGCCATTTCAAGCCTGGGAACTTCAGTAGCCAGATCCAGGCAGCCTTCCAGAAGCCATGGTTTCTAGTGGTTACTGACCCCAGGGCTGACCACCAGTCTCTCAGCCCCAGTTGTAAATTTTACTTCCTATTTTAGATGTTAACTTTACAATATGCAAGAGGATTAGTGGTGAAGTTTCAAAGCTTCTTTTAAGAGTGCTCAAGGAAAACATTTCAAAGAGTGCTACACTAGAGCTTACTACACAGGTCAAATAAAAACTGTATGTGAACAAAGGACTCCAAAATATCCATAGTGATTTTTTTTTGAATTATAGAATGAAGATTATTTTTTGATTCCTTTTAATTTTTTGCAACTTTCTATTCTGGGGATGATTATCTATACATATATAGAAATTGAAAATATTTAAAAATTACTAAATACATTGAAATACAAAAAAAAAAAACATTAAGGGGCTGGCGATGAGGTATAGCGGGTAAAGCCACTGCCTGTAGTGCCCACTGC